GCTTTTCGCAATAATGCTAGCAAGTATTTCATTAATGGACGACAAAGCAATTACACTGAAGTTACAAGTCTTTTGAAGGAAAAGGATATCGATTTGGATCATAAACGGTTTCTAATGTTGCAGGTGACTTTTTTATTTTTTTAAAACAATTTTTTTTTTCGTCGGAGGTAATTATTAATGTATTGAGTCATCAAAATTTTGTGCTTAAATTAATGATTAGGGAAATTAAATCAATATTTCAGATGAAACCCAAAGCACCAAATAAGCATGAAGATAGACTCTTAGAATTTCTTGAAGACATTGTCGGAACTTCTAAATATAAAATCCCACTTGAAGAAGCAAATGAAAGCTTGAATTATTGGATGAAGAACGTTCAGAGAAATTAAATCGCGTTAACCCAGTTGTGAAAAGGAGAAGTTTAGAGGTAACATATTAAACAATCGCGTTTGTGTTCATATTAAATAACAATTATGATTCTAATTTTATTAATTATAAAGGCCAAGAAAAACGAAGCTGAAGAATTTCTCTGACGTTAAATTTGAAACAGTCTGCTCTGTATCAAAAAAAAACTTGTTTAATTGTAAGAATAAGACTCAAATATCAATTAAGGCTGTGGTAAGTCATTAGTTTAATAACTTATTAAGACAAGCTAATTTTTAATGACAATTAATTTATTTTATAATTCTTAGAATAAATTAAAAGATCAACAAAAAGAAGGAGCAAAGCATGTTCAGATAAAACAAGATAACAAAGATCTCGAAAATCAATACAAAGATTCTGTTAATGCCTTTCTGGTAAAATAAATCATATTAATTTACAAATATATAAACTTTACATTAATATGATAATTGTATTTATTTATAAACAACTTAAAAAAATTCTAGAAGAATTGGAAAATCATGAAAAAGATATTAACCTGGAAGAGAGAAAGAAACATGCAACGTCTAAACCAAAGAAAGTGACAATGACAATTTCTACAGTAGGTTATATTAGTTTATATTATTTCGATGCATATATATATTCTCGAGGACATACAATAAGCTTTTCATTATAGGATCGTCATGGACTTTCGGAAGCGAAAACAGCGATACGATTTAATAACCAGGATTTGAATGATTGAATGGAAGAAATTATGGGCTTGGAAAGTCTTTAGAGGCTCAAGAAAGTGAACTTGAAAAATTCATGGAAGCCTTAAAGGTATGAGAATCGATTACTTTAATCCAATTGTGATATTTTTTTTTATATTGCAATTATATTGAAACTGGATTTAATCTTAAATAAAGGCAAGTCTGAAGTTTACTCTAACCAAATTGAAGAAAAGAAAAGAGAACTTGCGCCTTGTTCAATGAGAAACAATCTCTTGTTGATATCAAGGAATCGGAGTATATTATTTTAAAAGAGAAAGTTGATTCAATAAAACAAGATCTTAAACATGCAGAAGAAGATGATGTCACGCTTTGAGAATCATGTCGGAAAAAGGTATTATTAGAATGAATCAATTTGCTTTTTGCTGATCAATTAATCATAAATGAATTGCTTATTTAGGATCAAGAAATCTCATCTAAAAAGAATCAAATCAAAGACTTGAAACGAGAAATTCAACAATTGGACACTGATTTATAGGTTATTATTTAATTTAACATTTAAATTAATATATTTTTTTTAAGTATTTTATAAATATCTTTTATTACTTTAGTATATATTACCTTAGTCAGCAAAAAAATCTCAGGTCTAGTCTTGCCGATTCTCAACAAAGAGAAGAGGTGGCGAAAAATCTTTTACAATCTTCTCAATCTAGAGGACAAATTCTTAGCAGCTTGATAAATCTCAAAGATAATAGTCGTATAAGCGGATTATACGTAAGTTCGACGGAGCGGAGTGTTCTATAAATTGTTTTGCTTAAAATCTCATTTATTTTAATTTTTTTAATTAGGATCGGTTTGGGTAAACTTGGTGTCGTTGATGATAAATACGATGTCTCGATTTCAACCGCCTGTCCTGCATTGAACGACATCGTGGTTGATTCTGTTGAAGTTGGACAAACTTGTGTAAAACATCTTGGAAAAAACAATTTAGGTCGCGTCTCATTCATTCTTTGAATAACTACCTACCGTGTATATGCGTCCGATACAAACAACTGAAAATGTTACCCGTCGTTTTGATCTTGTTAAGCCGAAAGATGATAAGCTTATCCCAGCATTTTATAGTGTGTTACAAAATACTTTGGTAGCCGAAAATCTACAACAAGCGAATAGGGATAGCATTTGGTAAAATTCGAAGGCGCGTAGTGACTTTAAATGGTGAATTGATTGACAAATATGGCACTATGAGTGGCGTAAATGACCAAGTGTTGAAGCTTTCGACATAACACCCGAGACAATAGCAAAATTAGAAAGAGACATAGTCACTTAGAAGTACAGTGGAGAGAGTACTTAGTTCTTTAGAATCTCAACTTCAAGAGAAAAAGGATGAACTTCCTAAATTAGAGTTTGAAAGTTTGAACTATCAAAGTTAGAGATGTATGCTGATGCTTGCGTAAAAAGTATTACAGATAATGAAACAAGAATAGTCGAGTTACGGTATGTTTAGAACTTTATTTCACCAATAAATTCTTGGTAAAGGTTAATAAAATCAAATATTTTTTTTTTTTGATTTTTCCTTTAAGGAAAGAGATAATTTAAATATAGGCGTATGGGACAACTTCGAAAACAAAATGATCATCTTACACAAGAGTTGGATAGATTGAAACGTCTCCTTCTAAAATTGAAGAAGAGATTAAGATTTTGCAAGATAAGATTTTGGAAATTTGGGGTGATAAACTTCGAGCTCAAAAGTCTAAAGTAGATCATGTTAAAGATCAAATACTTTTAATAAATGAGCGAAATACTAAGTCAAATCAAGGGCGGAAATGGAAATGAATAAATTCGAAAATTCTCTAGCAAATAGTGAAAGAGAATTTAGAAGAATTAAATAATGATAGAAAATATTACAAAAGAAATTCAACAGAAAGCCAATGTTCGTATTAAAGCCGATGAAGCCAAATATGTATTTATGATTTATTATATCTGAATGTTTTTAATATATATATAAATACTTATTTACATGTTTTCGATATTGGAAAGTAAAAAAGAAGAATTAAATGAGATCAAGGAAAAATTTGATGAAAAAACCGAAATTATTAATCAGATTAGAGCAATTGAGGTTTATATTTATATTTATCACTATTCTCTTAAAATTAAGTCAATCTTTTTTTTAATGACTAATATACTCTGTACTTTATTAGTTAAAATCCAAAAACAAATAGAAGATAGTGAACGCAATTTGATAGAAAATAAACAAAAAGAAATTCATTGGCAAAAATCTCTTAACGACCTTACACTTCATGAAATTGGGTAAGGCATGCTGATGATATTTTTAAATATTTATTCTATTATTGACATTTATAAATAGGGGTGACTATGAGCAAGAATTTCAAATATATACTGATGATGAGCTCGATGCAATGAACAAAGATACATTACAAGGAGAGATTGATATTCTTAAAGTATTCTAATTTATCTTTTTTATTATTATTTTTTAAAAAAAAAAAAAAATCTCGAGAAAAAAACGGAAAACGCCAACCCAGATCTAAATATTTTGAAGGAATATAATATTCGTGAAAAAGAATATAATTTACGTAATGAATGTAAAGATAATTACGATAATTTAAGAAAGCAAAGATTGGACGAATTCATACATGGATTCAATTTTATTTCTCAAAATCTTAAAGAAATATACCAGGTATCTAATGACTTTTTTATCTCAATATATGTTATATAAAATATAAACAAATGGTTGTTTTTAGATGATTACTCTTGGAGGAAATGCCGAGCTTGAATGATGGATCCCTTTCCTGAAGGTATTATTTTTAGCGTTATGCTGCCGAAAAGAGTTGGAAAAATATGTCAAATTTATCTGGTGGAGAAAAGGTATGTCGTGTGTTCTTCAAATTTTCAATGTTTCAATTTTAATTATACTTGATAATTGAATAATTATTTTACAAAATACAGACATTTAGTTCTTTGGCTTTGGTATTTGCGCTTCATCATTTCAAACCTACACCCATATATGTTATGGATAAGATTGATGCGACCTTGGATTTTCGTAATGTGTCAATCGTCGCTAATTATATCAAAGGAACGCACAATTTATTATTATTAGTTTACGTGATAACATGTTTGAATTAGCGGATCATTTAATAGGGGTTTATAAAACTGATGATCAGGTAAGATTCTTTCTTGTAACTAATTTTTTTTAATGAAGATTATTAATTTTATGAATAATATTATTTTAGTCAAAATCAGTTATTATTCGCGTAAAATTCATGATCTTAAATTAAGAAAGATATAATGTCTATCAAAAATATTCACAAAAAAATATGTGTAGAGCATTAATTTTTGCTTTAATCAATTTTAATATTGCCTGAATTAATTATTCGATATTTATTTTTAATGAAAGATCATAAAAATGATTGCATCAAATTTTTTTTTAATGAGATGATTGCTAGAAAAATAAAATTCTGGTGGTTTTTGGCCAAATGTAAGATCTCTTAATTTATTTAACGTAACATCAAAAAATTAAATTCAATAAAAATCTTTTTGTTTTTTTATAGTAAAATTAATTAGTATTTATAAAATTTCTTAGTAATTTATTATTATCTTTAAACATTTCTATTTTTATAACAAATTATACTTCATCAATAAATGTAAATATAAAAACCAATTACAATCAGTGTATGATTTTCAAACCTATACATGATTGCGGAAGGCGCATACTATTTAGTAAGATCATGTGCGGAAATTGTGTTGGGTAGTGCGCAATTATCGCATAGCGGTACATGTATAATTTTTCAATTGTGCGCAAAAAAAATTTTTATAAACCATTTTTATAAAACTCATTTTTATTGAATATATAATATATTACTTTATTAATTGGATATTATATGAATTATGAATAAAACGATCGAATATATGAATATTTTTTATTCATTAGCTCGCCGAATATGTTGATTTGCCCAATAATTATATACGCTATCCCAATCAAAATTATGAAAATCATCAAGCCCATTTGCAAATATCATTAAATGCATGTTTAGTGTATCATGATTCATCCGATTTCTTAATTTGGACTTGGTTAATTTATGATGAGAAAATACCCGCTCAACATGAGCATTAGAAAGAGGAATTATTAAGGCTAGCCTAATAAGTTTAGAAATTAATGGATAATCGTTAATAAAATAAGGTTTTGTATTCCAAATATGTTCCCATCCTTTTACAATATCAAAATCACGGATTGATTTCATTATTTGCTTAACTATTCCCCATTCTTGATTTAATTCAATTTCATCAAAATATGCAGAAAATTTTTCGCCAGAAGTTGATAGCCGATCAATTCCATAATATTCAGTCAAAATTTTGATTTCATTATTTCCATAATATGCAATTTCACTTTCTTTTTGAGGTAAAAATTTGGGATCAAAAATTCTTAGTGAATTATAAATTTCTGAGTCTGGAAATCGGTTTTTTAAAGCTCTAATAATTTCTTCAGAAAATTTTAAAATAAAAGAAGGTATTAAATTAGAATGAATATTATTATCTGCTATGTATTTATATAAAATTGTGCCATATGTTGGAGAAACTTCTTCAGTTCCAATAAATTGCGCGTTGATAGCTGAAATCGTTATTTCCAAAGAATGTTTTAATTCTGAAAGATCTATATGATCGCGTTGAAAAATCTTGATCATTTTTGATAAAATGTACATTAAATCTGCTAGAAACATCGTTGATATAATAAATTCTGGATCAAGATTACTAACTAATTGAGAAGCTCGATCCCTATCTTTAGAATTTTCTGCATTAGCCATATCATCATTAAGAGCATCAATAACTGAAAAAATAACTTGATGGAGATTATGCACAACATTTGACATAGATAACCATCTTGTATTAATAATATTCAAGATGGTAAGTTGTGGATCTTTGTTAATATCTTGCATAAGCTTTAAATTTTGCATTCGTTTGTATGATCCACTAAAATATCCATATAATTGTTTGCAAATAACTTCATATTCTTTAAAATATGTTACTTCTTTTGCTGCATCTTGACCAGCTAAATGAAGTCTATGTGCAATACAATGAACAGAAGTCATAAATGGATTTTCCTTTTTTAATTGTGTTGCTACACCATTAACTTTTCCTAAATAAAAAAAATAATCAGTTCCGCTAGTTTTGTAATGTAAATTAACTAATTATTAAATTATTTTAATTATAACTAACCTGTCATAACAGAAGCACCATCACTTCCAAAATGAGCAATATCTTTAATTTGTAGACCTTTTTTGTTTAAAAAGCTTTTTATTTGTGTTGTAATATTATTAGCACTGCAATCATCAAGTTCTATTAATCCTAAATAGCGTAACACTGGCACA